TATATATATATTTATGTCCCTAACCCTTTGAGCGTATTTTTTTTGACAAATCAGCATAAAGCATACATTTTTCAGTAAAATCAATTCAACAACATAAAATATATCCACCTTGGATACCTTGGAAAATATGATATAAAACAACTCTTTGTAGCACATCACAGCTTGATGTATCATCACTGTTTTAAAACTCTTTCATCTTAACTAAGATTAATTTTTTCTTCTGTTTTTTACTGTCAACAAAAAGGTCAAAGCTATTCAAAGCAAATTAACACCAGAGATATTGGTCTACAGGTTTGCATCATCTAATATTTTTTTATTCTCTTTTAAGACTTAAATGAAAACGTAGAATCTGCTCTAACAGTTGACCCAGGAACTTGTATTCTTCGTCCTCCCTGTCAGCTTGTCTCTGTTTCCTTTCTTCCACCTCTCTAAACATGGCATTTGTGTAGTATGTCTCACCGTTTTCTGCCACCAGGTCATCAATCTTCTTCATCAGCTCCTCCACCTGCTTTCTGTCTTTGCTTCTGTTGTTAAAGACGTGGAACCTGTTTCCACAGCTTTGGATGACTCGTCTGAGCTTGTCTGATTTGGTTTCACGTACATACTGCTTTATGGTGATTTCCTGGTCTTCAAGGGCATCTCCGTGGGTGAACAGCACAATCATATAATGTTGAGCTTTTGGACCAAACAGCTCCTGCAGGGCTTCCACAGAGTTTTTCTCCTCTCTGCTGAATCGACCGACTTGGAGCACCAGTAGAAAAACATGAGGACCTGGACTGGAGACTTCAACGCATCTCACAAGTTCATTTTTGGTCATCTCTGCAGAGTGAGCGTCCAGGATCCCTGGTGTGTCTATGACAGAAATATTTCTCCCTTTCCACTGTGTTTCACCTGTTTTACAAGTTTGAGTCACTGACTCTGAACTGGGACGAGATTCGAAATGTCTATTTCCCAGGATGGTGTTTCCAACAGCACTCTTCCCCACACCAGTTTTTCCTATTATCACAATCCTCAAATCAGGACCTGGAACAAAATTCACAGCTTCAATTTAACACATCTGAAACATCAAGTCCATAAGTTTCATGTATTTCAATGCATGAGCACATGTTAACACATATCAAACAAAGCAGTTTACCTGATTGAGATGAAGTCATAATTTATCTTCAGTTTGTTGTAACTACACAGGTGAGAGAGATGAGTGTTCAAGCTTCTGTTCAACACATTGTTTATGTGTAGCTTCACAGTTGACACGCCCACAGGTTTAATAGAGACAAAGACGAGCACACCTTTCAGACACCAAAGAACCTGTTACAGGATTGTTACAATAAAAGGAATTTAAGAGTAGCAAGGAAACATTTTATATCTGATCATTTCAATCATTTTGGGGGGTTTGTTTGTTTGTTTGTTTGTTTGTTTGCTTGTTTGTTTGAGTATGTCAAAAAAAGAATTGGTTAACTAAAAGGATCATTTCCACTATTTTCATTGACAAGATTTCAAATTTCCTTTAAGAAGGAATTCTGGTTGTAGGTGGTACAAATGAAATCACACGTGCAGCAGACTTACAAACTAGCTACTAGGTGTACATTACAAGTTTGAGCTAAAACAAAAACAAAAACAAAACCATCCTGTACCCACATATGCTTTGAATTCTCAATGGGGGACAATATTATAGATGTGCAAAGCTCTGTACAGGTTAGCAACTAGCCA